GGACACATCTCTCGGGTGCACCTGAGGAAATGGGGGGATGTGAAAAGTCTGTGCCTTTCACACCACGTACAGCCCCTGGTGCTGTCTCTGCTCAGCCTGAGCCTCCTGCTGCTTCCTCCAGAGGAATCTCTGGCACCATCAGTGTCCCCAGCAGCACCCCAGACCTGGGCAAGGAACTGGACCATCAGAGCAGGGTGAGGGCTGTGCTGCTGCTCATGCAGAGTCTGGGCTCAGCAGCAGCAATTGTTTAACCTGCAGAGCTCCTCGTGCTGCTGCTGTCCTCACAACACCCAGGACAAAACTTCTGCCAGGTGGTTTTGGAAAAGAGACAAAAGAACCGCTTGAGGGTCCTGGCCTAAGTGGGTTGGCCAGAGGAAACTGGACCAGCAGTACCTCATGCCAAGAACATGATTGTTGCAGACAAATGACTGCAATCTGCCTGTGAGAAGCTATTTTAAAGAGTCTCGAGTTGTGCCTGGCCTTTAATGTGCAGTTGACATTCACAAGTTACCTTATGCAGAACTGGAAGGAGCCTGATGACCTTTGAAACATCCACTAAACTTCCTCTGTGAGGAAAACCAGCCCAAGTTCACTTGTTTCATTTAAAGAAATGCCTTTTCTCTGCAACCAAAATTGCTGATTGTGACCTGGCTTCAAAGGGAGCGAAGATCTCTGGCACAAACTTCTGGAACTCCTTCTGAGTTGCTTCCATCATTACAAATATTTTGCAAAGTAAACTCTCTCCTGTTGCTCAGAGTTGTTTTCTGCCAGATTATGCAGCATTGTAGTTCGCAGGAACTGGCTGGGTAGGTGGACACTGGAAATTTGTTTAAGTGTCTGGCAAGTGGCTTGGCTGGGGATGGGTGGTGGTTATTGCTTCAGGTTTTCATTTGCTCAGCTGTGCTGCTCTGAGTAACCCCAGTGCTCTGCTCTGGAGAACCAGATCCTGGAGGGATGGGCATTGCCAAAATAGCCAGAAAGCTCCAGCAGAGCTGCCTGGATGTGCCAGGTGAGGAGGGAGAGGGGCTGCGTTCACACAGCTGCCTCTGGTGGCTGCAGGTCCTGGCAGGTGAGGAGGGAGAGGGGCTGTGTTCACACAGCTGCCTCTGGTGGCTGCAGGTCCTGGCAGGTGAGGAGGGAGAGGGGCTGTGTTCACACAGCTGCCTCTGGTGGCTGCAGGTCCTGGCAGTGCTGAGCAGTGCCGAGCTGCTCCTGCCTTCCCTGCAGGGCTCAGGGTGGGCTCGCTGGGCCAGCAGAGCCCTGGGGCTGTTTGCTGTGCTGCCCTCCTCGCCCAGATCAGCCTGCAAACCCCAGGCTTGTCCCTGGCACATCTCCACATCACTGTGGACTCTTGCTCTGCTGGAGCATTTTCCTCTTTGCTGGGGCTTTCCTCCTTCCTCAGCTCCTCCGTGCCCAGCCTCTGATGTGTGGCTGCAGTTTCACTTTCTGTGCATGGAGCCCTGCCAGAGCTGGAGCTGCTGCCAAGGTGCTGCTGCTCGGGAGGTGGGGCTCAGCAGGTGCCCCCGTGCCAACCTGCTGCACGTGTGGGGCTGCCAGAACCTGCCAGGGCTGCCAGGACCAGCCAGGGCTGCCTGCCCAGGGCTGATTCCAGCTGCAGCACTCCGAAACTCGCCCTGAGCGCGTTGTTGGTGCGGCTGTTCTGTCACCTCTGCTGGAGCTGCCCTGGGGAGCCACAGCAGCACAGGTGAGCTGCCCCTCCCCAGGCGTGGGTCAGTGTTCAAGGGTGGCAGGTGCTGAGGCCAGGATGCTGCTGAAGTGATTGCATCAGTGCTGGGTGTGACAGAGCCCACCTGGGCCAGGTGTGACAGAGCCCACCTGGGCCAGGTGTGACAGAGCCAGGTGTGACAGAGCCAGGTGTGTCAGAGCCCTCCTGGGCCAGGTGTGTCAGAGCCCACCTGGGCTGGGTGTGACAGAGCCAGGTGTGTCAGCCAGGTGTGACAGACCCCACCTAGGCCAGGTCCTGCAGCAGGCACACACACACCGTGCAGGTCACCTGCTGTGTTTCTGCTGCTTGGGACTCACAGCAGGGAAAAGGAGTGTCCTGGCTCTGTGGGGCTGAGGTTTGGGTGCTCTCAGAGGCTCCTTCCCTCATCACCCCAGCTCAGGGGTGCTGCAGCACTGCTGACCCACCTGGGCTTTTATAGAGTCATCTCCGAGATCGAGGGTCTGTTCTCAGCCCCACCAGGGGAGGAGGGAAGTCCCTGGTGTGGAGCAGTTCTGAAGAAGGGGAGGTGTTGGGAAGGGTGTTTGGGGGGTTTCTGGTGTGTTGGCTGTGCACATTCCTACCTGCCAGCAGGTCAGCCAGCACAATGGGAGCTGGGTGGCACCTTTGGCTATTGCCTTGCAGGGTGAACATTCAGCCCAAGAAAATTAAATTAACTGAGTTGTCCTCATGCTTTTCTAGTGAAATCATGGAAACCTGAGCAAATCTACCGTGGGTTTCTTAGCCTCATTCACTGGTGCTGTGTGGGATCCTTTGCTTCAGCTCCCAAAGCTGTAAGCAAGTCAATGACCATGTGCAGCATATATATGTCCTTTTCTCCTCCTGAGGTGTGTTCCAGGCTGGCAATCTCTAGGGCAGGGCTCTGATTCATTGTCTGCAGAGCACCCCGAGCCTGCGAGGTGTTTAAAGGTTTGGCCTCTTATCTGTACGAGTACACCTAGTGAATTTTATGGGAAGGAGATAAAGCCACAGTAAACTGACTTGAAGAAATAAAGTAAAACTGGATGAGGAATCAAGGAGTTGAGGATCCTGTTGATGGTGCAGAGCAAGGGGTGTGCTGTGAGGGGCCAGAGTTTCTGAGCAGCACAGAGAAGCTGGGCACCAGCTCTGCTCTGCCACGTGCAGTGGCTCACTGCAGAGCTGTGTTCTCCCTGTTTAACAGCAGAACTTTGCCTTCCAATGAAATGTCTCTGCTGTCTCCTGCCTTGATCTATTTGCAGCAAGCAGCTGTTTTGGAACCTGGCATTTCCTTCTAGTATGGCAAACTGAGCTTGCTCTGAACGGCTACATGGAAGGGAGGTCTAATTCTCACTGACAATAGCAGTGAGTGCTTTTCTCTGAGACACCCGTAGGATCTCACTCCTCAGTGTTTAAGCCCAGGTTAACAATAGAACTGGAAGTAGCATGGGAAGAGGAGTGAGCATCATGGGGATGTGCTGGTGTTGGTAAAGCAGAGCAGAGTTGCAGCAAGCCTGAGCTGTTGATAAGATAGATAAAAGCACTTTCAGTGTTTACATTTGTACTTAAACCTGTAGCAGCTCATTCCCCAGCATATCTTCTCATTTATGGCTGGCTGTGTCTCCTGTGGAGCTGCCCAGGGCATCAATCCATTCATTTCCCAGGAAAAGCCTTTCTGTCTCCCTCCTGCTGCGTGAAGAGGCTTTTCCTTTTGAGAGCTGAGGGCACAGTTGTGTTCTGGCTGCAGGGCAAGGCGGCCCTTGCAGTTCTAGAGCAGGCTGGTGCCAGGGGCAGCAGAGCCAGCTGTGGGCAGGATCACTGCCCTGCCCTAATAAGGAGCTGGATTGCACTTCAGCCCTGGCATGGGGCAATGGCCCTGGCCTGCTCTCACTCTGACCCACCCTTTGCTTTCAGTCTTTTGCCTTTCCTCACCCCTTTCTCTTTATTCTGGCCGTTGTCTTTCACCTGCTGTGAGCCTGGGAGAGGCTCCTGGGCAGAGTAGGTGATGTGTGCCTGGTTTGAGATTGAGATCTGCCCCTGGGGCAGAGCAGGCACTCGGGGCTCCCCTGCCCTGCTCTCTCACTGGGGTGATTCCCTTTCTGCTGCAGCAGCCTGAGGAACATGATGAAGCCTATGTTGGCAAAAGGCAAAAAGCCACAATGAACAAGGCATTGTTTTGCTCATGAAGAGCACAGTTGCATTACTTCTCCTGAGTATTTTGTGCTTCAAAGAGGTCTGCAGCAGTACTCCTGCAGCCTGCTTTGGTTTGGTTCTTGTTTCCTATGCAGGAAACCTCTGCCTCTCCTCCCTCTGCCAATGTTTTGTTCCCTTATCCTAATCAAAATTCCAGCAGCTGAATTTGCCCGTGGACTTCCACGTGTGCCTTGCCAGTCCCTTGTTGACAGCTCCTGTCTGTGTCACTGAGCCCTGGAACGCCAGGGAGGTCACCTGGTGCTTCCTGCAGGGCACCCGGGTTCTGTCTGGGGTTCTCTACCCCAGCCTGAGCAAACAGCTGTTCCAGCTGTTCAGAAATCCCTGCTTTGGGGCAGTGTGCAGGTGCCTCTCCCAGGGAAGCTCAGCTGGTGTCTGTTCTGGCTTGCTCTTGGCATGCCTGGGTTGGAGATGCTGCTGCTCCTCGCAGAGCCCCGAGGGGCTGTGAGCCATGGTGCCCCCGAGCTGTGGCAGGGTGGGGCACTGGCATCCCCTGGCTGCCCTCCCTCAGCTGCTTCTGCTGTTATTGCTTGTTTTCAGCTGGCACCTGTTGGAATCTGGGCTATTGATGATTCCCAGATTGTAGAAAGTCTCTGTCATTCCTGCCAAAGCAGAAGCCATAATTGGTCTGTGCTGGTTTCAAGGTTGTTTATTCTGTTTATCTCTAACATGTTCTGCTGCCCTGCCGCAGCTCTGTCCTGCAGGGCAGCGTGTGGGGCTCTGCCCTCAGTGGGATGGTACAAACATTAAATACCACAAACTACCTGTGCTGGATTTACAATAACGTGCCAATATCTGTCACCTACGTTGGACAGTGTGTCCCCAGCCTGAACCAACAGAAAAATGCCAACACCACAGTGAAACATGGAGGGCATGAAGAAGGAGAAAAAGGACAAGGCACACCCAATTTCCTCCATCTTGTCCCCTTTGAACCCTAATCTAGAATCCTAAAATTTTACTTTTGCACCTGTGCCACACTTAATTATTACTTATATCAAACCCTCAGAGCTGGTAATTCATCCTGTAAGATTGAAAACTCTTTTCCATGGACAGAGATCACAGACAGTGTCTCTGGGGGCTCTGTCCAGGGGGGTTCCTGACCCCTGCCAGGGTCCCAGACCTGCCAGGGCAGCCAGAGGGAAGCCCTGGATTCCCACAGGTGACCAGCTGGCTTACACACTCCAGGATTTGTGATCCCTGGCTTACACACTCCAGGATTTGTTTGGATGTTGTGGATGGTATTTATTTAACTTCCAGGATGTGGTGGTTATCAGCAGCTGATAACATGCTTGGGCCTATTTAAATGGCATCTTCTGTCTCAGTGCCCAACGTCTGAGGTCCCTGAATAGTTTGAAATAGCTGTACTGCAGCCTGTGCTTTGGGATGTGACTTTCAAAGAATCTCAGGCATTTTCCGCTCCATTTTTAAAAAGTAGGTAAGGAAATAAAAAATAGTCTTGACTCTTGTTACTTAAGAACTGGGATTTAGCTCACTGTTCCAATGGCACCCCTTGGCAGGAAAAGCCTGTAGGGAAGCTGCTGAATTCAGCCCTAACCCAGAATATACATGAGCCTTCCCTGTTCACCTTCTAGCTGAAGCCTTGCTGATGTCCAGTAATCTTATTTTTAAACCAGATCTGATTCATGCTCTGCTTTCTGTGCCAGATGAGGTCCTTGGTTGTGAGTAAGTGTTGTGACTGTAGCTGGCAGGAGCGCCGCATGATTGCCTCACTTCAGGAAATGTTAAAATAACACTTTTTTTTCTTAGAAAGCTCATTTGCACCCCTCCCACTTCTAATTCTCCTAATAGCTGCCCCCAGTTTGGCAGCTGTGTGACAGAGGGCTGTTTGTGTTGCTGAGTGAGAGCAGAGACACTGGAGTGGACGCAGTGCTGGAGGAGAGGTGCACGGAGCGAGCGAGCATCCCTGGCCAAGCTGGCTCCAGCCTCTGCAAGGTTCCTCTGCAGCCTGGAAGGAAAACTGCTCAACTGTGAGAAGGATCTCGCTCCTCCCCCTGGGCTCTGCGACTGAAGCTGGGGATTTTTTTCCTCTTGGAGAAGAGAAGCTGCCCCAAGCGAAGCTGCTCACTTGAGACAAGCCAGGCAAAGGTTTCTCTGCCCTTGGCTGCCGGGGTTCAGAGGGGCCGGGAGCTGCTGGGATGAGTGTCCCCCAGGGCTGGAGCCAGCAGCTTGTGCCTGCTGCTCTGCACTTGCAGCAGGCCCCCGAGGTACTCAGCAGAGCTTGGGGTGAAGAGGATTGTCTCCTCAGCCCTGTGGCAATGTGTACAGCCCTTGCCGGTGGTGGAAAGGAGCACACGGCGTTGGGAGTGCAGACGAGCGCTGTGCTCTGTGAGTGTGGCACATGGGCCGAGTGTGCTAATGTTTAACTTGTCTCTTGTTTTTCTTTCCATCCATTAGGCAACACTGAGGGCTGCACATCTCGCCAAAGCCTCCCGGCAACCTTGTCTGCAGGGCTGGATGACAGCAGGAGCTGCCAGGTAAACCCATGAGCCTGTGAGGAGGCGAGCTCAGGACGCACCATGGGCCAGAAGGTCACGGGTGGGATAAAGACCGTGGATATGAGGGACCCTGTGTACAGGCCATTGAAACAGGAGCTGCAGGGACTGGACTACAGCAAGCCCACCCGGCTGGACCTGCTGCTGGACATGCCCCCCGTGTCCTACGAGGTGCAGCTGCTGCACTCGTGGAACAACGACGACCGCTCGCTGAACGTGTTCGTCAAGGAGGACGACAAGCTGATATTTCACCGGCACCCGGTGGCCCAGAGCACGGACGCCATCAGGGGCAAGGTGGGCTACACGCGGGGGCTGCACGTCTGGCAGATCACCTGGGCCATGCGCCAGCGGGGCACCCATGCCGTGGTCGGGGTGGCCACGGCCGAGGCCCCCCTGCACTCCGTGGGGTACACGACGCTCGTGGGCAACAACCACGAGTCCTGGGGCTGGGACCTGGGGCGCAACAGACTCTACCACGACGGCAAGAACCAGCCCAGCAAGACCTACCCCGCCTTCCTGGAGCCCGACGAGACTTTCATCGTGCCCGACTCCTTCCTGGTGGTTCTGGACATGGACGACGGCACCCTGAGCTTCATCGTGGACGGGCAGTACATGGGGGTCGCCTTCCGAGGGCTCAAAGGGAAAAAGCTCTACCCGGTGGTGAGCGCCGTGTGGGGCCACTGTGAAATTCGGATGTGCTACTTGAACGGGCTTGACCGTGAGTATGAGTGCTGTGCTGGGCTGTCCTGGGGGATTTCCCCTTTCTGGAGGGGTGAGGATTGGTGTCAGCAGTGGCTGCACGCCTGAGCTGTCCCCAAGGCACTCTGCAGGAGCAGGCAGGGCTTGGGAGGGGCTGTGTGAGAGAAGGTGATGCCAGTTTGTCCAGCTAGGATGGGAAACCTTGTGCTGCCACCAGAAGAGCATTCTGCTGACAGTTGCATTACTGGCACTGGAATCCTGGTGTCTCTTTACAGAAAACAGTCTCTGCCACAATCCCCTTCCTTAAAGGGAACGTTTAAAACCCCTTGCAGGCAAGAACAGGGACAGATCTTCCCATCTAAGAAAATGGGACTGTTTTCCATCTCTCAGAGCAGGGTGTGCTCGTTCCTAGCAGGGGGCTGGATGCTGTCGTCAGCCCAGCTTGCATGCCAGCCCTTTGACTAAAGGCACATCAATCTCTAGCTCAGCTTAGTAATAAATCTGGCTGTCCAAATGTGCTCAAGTCTGTTATCTCTCATAGTCAGAAGTTCCCATGGGGCCAGACTGTGACTCAGTCCTCTGGGTAGGGTGGAGGAGAGAGGTGAAGGAAGTGGATTAAAATCTGGATTTATGCTGCTAGTGAAATAAATTTGGCAGTATTGGTATGAAGAGTAGTTTCCCCTGCGTTCCAGGACAGTGTCTGCTCAAGGGCTGTAGCACACTGAGCTCTTCTGTTTGTGCTGGAGGTGTCCTGATGCTGGCCCAGCACTGGTAAACCCCGAGTGCCACAGAGCTGCCACCAGGCACCAGAAACCCGAGTTGTCAGCATGCCCAGGAGAGCATGCCAAGGGGCAGGAGCAAAACCTGCAAGTGCTTTGAGAAATACACTTCAACTCTGCAAGACCAAACAGAGAGCTCTTGGCAGTGCATTTTCTCACCCAAAGGAAGCCCAGCTCTTTCTGCCACGACAGCCTAAAGAATGTCAGCAGCTCCAGGAACCAGGTTTTGCTGGAGGGTCAACGCCAAAACCTGCAGCTCCGCTCAAAGGCAGCAAAGTCTGAGGAGCTGCTGGCACAGAGCTGCACTCAGCCAGGAAAGGGCCACTCCAGGGCTGGAGCTGGTTGTGAATCGTGGGCAGCAGGCCAGCAGGGATGGGATGCTGTTCTGGCACAGGGGGAGAGAAGGTGTCTGGCTCTGAGCACTTCTGAGCGCTCAATAGCAGCACTGTCCAGTGCTTGTGGTGCCTGTGAACGGGAGGTGGGATGTGGGTGTGCTGTGTCAGTGCACACTGGGTGAGCTCAAACCTCTCCTCTGCAGGCCACTGAGCTGAAATGAATTGTCCTGTGGGTGTCTCAAGGCTCTGGAGGTCAGGCCCCTGTGCCAGGGGTGGAGGGCAGTGCCCCTGTGCCAGTGCCTCTGTGCCAGCTGTCCCTGAGCAGGGCAGAGCTGGGGCAGGCTGAATGCAGCCAGCTTGTGCCCCAGTGCTTTCAGAATCAGCTGCACTGGGAAGTGCCAGAGGAGAGCTGCCAGTGCTGGGGCTCTGCAGTGTCCCAGCCCCAGCAGAGCTGCAGTGTGCTGCAGGAACCCAAACAGAGCTGCAGTGTGCTGCAGGAGCCCCAGCAGAGCTGCAGTGAGCTGCAGGAACCCCAGCAGAGCTGCAGTGAGCTGCAGGAACCCAAACAGAGCTGCAGTGTGCTGCAGGAACCCCAGCAGAGCTGCAGTGTGCTGCAGGAACCCGAGCAGAGCTGCAGTGGGCTGCAGGAACCCAAACAGAGCTGCAGTGTGCTGCAGGAGCCCCAGCAGAGCTGCAGTGCTGCAGGAGCCCCAGCAGAGCTGCAGTGTGCTGCAGGAACCCCAGCAGAGCTGCAGTGTGCTGCAGGAGCCCCAGCAGAGCTGCAGTGTGCTGCAGGAGCCCCAGCAGAGCTGCAGTGTGCTGCAGGAACCCAAACAGAGCTGCAGTGTGCTGCAGGAGCCCCAGCAGAGCTGCAGGAACTCAAACAGAGCTGCAGTGTGCTGCAGGAACCCGTCCCTGTGGCAGGCAGCACGGACCCCAGGCTGGTGAGGAGCAGCCAGCCCAGTTTGGGTGGCACAGCCCCGACACAGAGCAGGAGTGGTGGTGCTGGGGCTTGGCAGGTGCCATGAGCAGTCAGGTTCATTTGGTGTGGAGCAGGGCAGCTGGAGGCATCCACCAAAGCTGCTGGAAACTGCAGCTTCTCAGCCAAGCTGGCTCCTGCCTGTGGGTGCTTCAGGTGTCTGGGAGCAGAGGAAGCTCTGGGAGGTGCAGCAGAGCCCCCAGGCACAGGAGGATGGCCAGTTATCTGCTTTGGGATGTGTCAGCCCTCACTGGGGGCAGCACAAACCCCTCAGGCCTCAGCAGGTCAAGGTGAGCTCAGCCAGGCTGTGAGGAGTTGATGTGAGCTCCCTCCCTGCAGCTGGCATTTTTTAGCTCTGGCTTTGACCTCAGTCCCCTCTGTGCTGTGAGTGACTCCTCAGCAGCCAAGGGCCCCATGTGCCATTCCTGAAAAACTTGTATTATCTTGTTCAGGGTTTTAAGTACAGGATGCAGAAAAAGATAGCCAAAGGCTTGTATCCTTCCCAGCTCTGACAGGAGGGACTGCTCTGCTGGGAAGTGTCACGGTGCAGGCAGCAACATGAACCTTTGACAGATGCCTGTGTTTTCCTGGGAGCTCTGCAGCATAACTGGAGGGGCTGACAGCTGCTCCCCTCCTGTATGAGATAAGGATGTGTGTGAGCAAAGTGCTGCTCTGGGGGTACCCAGACCCCGTGGCACCCTGGCTGCTGTCACCTTTTCCTTCAGTAACTCTTACAGCAGCTTCTGGACTCTGCAGTAAGAGGCATGAGGCAGAAGATGTGATCTTACCAGAAGGGATGGAATGGCAGAGGAGGCCCTTGTGGCTGGTGTTGTTGCAGGGCTGTTTCACACACACACACACGTGTGGCTGCAGCAGCCCACAGGAACCTGCTGGAGTGTTTGGGGAGCTGAGCCGAGTGGCCCAGGGGCTGCAGGGGGGGTCAGTGCCCTGCTCAGGGTGCCAGGGGGTCAGAAGCAGCAGGGTGAGTGCACCTTGTGGGCTGGGCTCTAACCTCTGGGCTCTAACCTCTGGGCTCTCTCTTCCCAGCTGAACCACTGCCTCTGATGGACTTGTGCCGGCGAGCCGTGAGGCTGGCCCTGGGCAAGGACAGGCTGGCCCAGATCCCCACCCTGCCCCTGCCAGCCTCCCTCAAGAGTTACCTGCTCTACCAGTGACCCCGTGCTGCAGGACCGAGCAGGACCCGAGGGGATGGAGCTGCCCACGGAGCCCTGGGCTCTCCAGGCTGGAGCTGCCTGGCCGGAGGATTTGTCACCAGTTTCACCTGCAGCTGCTGCAGCCTCCCTCTGCTCTGGGGCAGTCCTGGCCTCACAGCCCAGTGCTTTGTTCCTTGGCAGTCACAACAGGAACACTGGCACAGGCTCTGGGCTCCCCTCTCCTCCTGTGGGTTTGAGGGGAGTGCTTCTTCTGTACCAGCTAAAGGGAAGGGTGATAATGAAAGAATAATACTAAAAGTAAGAATTAAAGCGTAATTTGGGGGAAGAGGAGGCATTAGGAATAGAAATGTTAAGGCCACGTGCTGAGAAGGGAAAGGCTCAGGATGGCCAGCAGAGTTGTAAAGAGTCTGGGATACCATAAAGAATTAATTGATGGGTTTTTAAAAGCCAAAAAAAATTAAAAGTACAGCCCCGAGCCCTGAAACACCAAAACCAAGAGCCCTTCTTCCACCAGGACACTTGCTGGCTTGGAGAAGGTGGTTGTGTTGCTGATGTCTGTATCTGTGCTGGGACTCCTCACCCTGCTGTGTTGCTGTTTCACAGGTTGTGCCTCCTGCTTTTTGTTTACCACCAGTGCTCCTCCTGCTCCATCCTCTGCTCTGCTCCTCCTGCTGGCTTTGACAGCTGATTTTGCAGTCAGGCTGTGCCTCCCTCCTGCCTGAAAGCTGCAGCTTTTCTGTGGGACCCCTGGCGGGTGTGGGACAGGGAAGGACAGAGCTGTGCAGCAGGGTGGCAGCGTGCTGAGCTGTGTCCCCCCAGAGAATCCTTCACCTTCTCTAAGGGCACTGCCAGGGAATTCTCTCCCTGAAAAGCTGCCCAGATTGACCCAAGCCAGGCTGGTTCTGTGCCAGAGCAGCCTCACCCGCGGGTCCCTGTGCCCTGCTGGGTGCCCAGAGGCTGTCCCTGAGCAGGGCTCCCACAGGTGCCACCAGCAGCAGGGCAGATCAGACAGCCCAGGGGCGATCTTCAGGCCCAGCAGGAGGAAACTGAACCTCTCCAGAGCCGGGCAGCAGGAGAGAGCTGCAATAAACAGGACAAGCAATATCAGCACATCCCAAATAGATCCTCAGTAGCCAGGTAAAGGGGATGACACTCCTTCCTTAGCAGGAGCTGCTCTCTTGACCTCTCCACAGGTTACTATGCTGCCTTTCTGGGGTTATTTTGCACATTTCTTTGTGTTTGTTGGTTTTTGTTTTTTTTTTCCTTGAAAAATGTTTGTGTGATTGTTTTGTTTTTGCTTTTGAGTTATCCCCTTGGTTTTGTGTAGGTACAAATGAGTTCAGTTGAAAATGTTAATATATATATATGTGGGGTGTATGTATAAGAACATGTTTTAAACAGCTGCTGTAGGGTACCTTTTTGAAAATAAACTACTTGCATAGTATATTTTTTAAAGCACAGAGTTGGTGCCAAGACTGGGTGGGGTGTGATGTGCCCCTTTTTTATTCTAATATTATATGAGATTTTTTTTCAACGTAGGGGTTTGTACTAGTTTCTGTTGCAGGGTGGGCCACAAAATTCAGTGTGTGTGGAGCCCTGCTTGGTTGCCTTCAACTTGAACCAGTGTCTTCCAGAACTCCAGGGAAGGAGCTGTGTTCTCCCTACTTCTAATGCTCTTTGTGCTCCCTCATTTCCATCTCTCCTCACTTCACCAGGACATGACTCTGTACAGTTTAAAATCCTTTCCATTTTATGACTGTAGATAGTACTCAGTAACCTAATAAACTTTATTAAATATTACTTGGTGATGGGTTTTACTTGCAGGAACTGATCGGATTTCTCTGTACTTTGTTTCTACACGAGCAGTGAGTTTATTCCCAAGGAGCCTGCCCAGACAGGCAGAGCAGGGGCATTAGCTGTGCTTGGAAGAAAAGCAGTTTAAAGCTGGCATCTAAAAGGTGTGCACTAATAGGGTGGTGGGGAGGGAGGGCTCAAAAAAAGGCAAGTGCTTTCTTGTCTCTTGTCTCCAGTCAGGACAAGATTTGGTTTTTTTTTTGTTTTTTTAACTTTTGGGTGTCACCTGTGGAAAAGCACATGATGAAGAGGAGGGTTTGTAGCTGCTGAGCTTTGCCACCCAGCAAAGGCAGGGATCCCAGCTGTGGTTTGCTGCAGGATGCTCTGCCTTTGTGCCTGCCCTGCCCAGCTCCCTCGCAGTTGGGGCTGGGAGTGGCTGGAGGGTGCACAGAGCTCAGGAATTAGTTCATGCTCAGCTCCAGACACCCAAACAGCCTTGTGTTCCAGCTGCATGGAATATTTGAAACAAATGACCTGCTCGGGGCTGGGAGCCTGCAGTGTTTATGTACAGCGCCGTGGCAACGGGGAGGAAGCCATGAGCTGGGGACTGGCCCTGATGGGATCAACAAATGATATCACAGATTAGCAGGCCCTAATAAATCAGGGCAGCTCTGCTGTTCCTGCCTCCCTGGCAGCGTGGCAGGCAGATCTCTGCCTTTGTGAGGAGCAGAAAAAGCTGCAGGTTGTGTCAGGACTGCCTTGAAAGGCACCCCTGCTGCCCTGCCAGCATCCTCCTCCTCCTCCTCTTCCTCCTCCTGTGCTGGCTCGTGAGGTTTCCACATGGAGCTGCTCCTGTTTTTGGGAGGCTCCTGGCCCTGCCAGCTGCCTGCCTGTGCTGGAGCCACCCTGGGAGAACACTGGCATCCCGGTGCTCCTGTTCCCTCCCGTGAGCTGGAGCTCTGGGAGAGTGATTTGTGTCCAGGAAAGCCTGCGAGGGGAGGAGTGCTCAGTGCAGGGTCCAGGAGCTGCTGAGGAAATGTGGCATCCTTCTCTGGCAGCTCCTCCTGCTCTCCTCAGGAGGGAAAGCTGTCCTGGGTGCAGGTTCTGCTCCTGCACAAAGCTGTGCCCGTGCCAGGACAGGAGCACTGGCAGGGGAAGGCAGCTGCCAATTCTCTCCTTTGTCTGCAGGACTGAGAGTTTCTCTCTGAGCTCAAGCCCCTTCCCTGCTGGAGCCCAGCCACCCCTCTGTGCCTCGGGTCCTCTGCCAGTATCAAGGCAATTTTCCCTTTTCCCTGGGCCTGAGACGTGGGAACTTGAAAGAACGTGCGTCACACTTTTAAGAACTTCTTTTGGCAGTCACACCTTTTCTCCTGCATAAGGTAAGACAATTATGAAAAACAGTTCCTAGACTCTGCCCTCTTCTCTCCCACACGCTTCCTATGCAGAGCTAATGCTGTTGATCCCATGCCAAAGTTGCATTTGACTGGAGAAGGAAATATAATGATTTATTTAGTAGAGTTTATTAAAATTAAAAACCTAACCCAAAGCACAGCCTTTCTTGGCTTACAAAACAGCGCTGAAAGGAACAAAACCCATTCAACGCTCGCACAAAACACACTGAAACACTGATCCTGCCTTTGCACATGTTTTCATTCGAAACTATTGCGGGCTTGTCTGCCCTTCAGACAGAAAACTATTTGAAGCAGCTGCCAGATGTTTTGTCTGCCTCTTGTTGTACAGATTGCTCTTCCCAGCGGTGCTGGGGCTGCCCTGTGAGTTCTGTACCTGTGGCACCCCGGTGCTGCCTGCCCACCCTGCGCCTGGCACGGGCAGGTGGAAATTTGGGGATTTCAGTGCCAGGTGCCAGCTGTGCTGGGGGCTCCGAGCAGCAGCACACTGCTCTGCTCACACGCTGCTGGGTGAAAATGAGCTGATTTACAGCCCAGGTGATTTACAGCCTCCTGCAATGACAGCAGCCAGGGCCTGAGCTGAGCCCTTGGTGAGCAGCCACAGCCCAGGGCAGCCTCTTGGGCTGGAGCTGAGTTATAAATCTCATTCCCCCCATCAGAGGGATGATAAATTCTCAAATACAATAAAGTGGGGCAGACCTTTGTGTTTTTCCTGAACTGTGACAAATTTGACTCCAGCAGACGAGAGATACCTGCCGAACAGGGAAGACCTTGGGATTTCCTGGGTGTTTGCCTGGCCTTGGGACACAGTTTGTGTAAAAGCTGTTAACTGGGAGCGGTCCCATTTGCCATCCTGTTTAGTGGCACCTCCCTGGCTTTCTGCCCCACTCACACTCTGAAAAACCCCATCCTGTACTCGTGGGGCATCCCGGGCTGGAATCCTCATTAAATGGGGTTAACCTGCAACTTTTCACTTTGCTCACACACATCCTTTAATAATCAGAGCACTCCTGTCCACACTGGGGCTGTTCTGCAGCTCGTGGCCAAGGTTGGCTCTGCTGTGCCGAGGGGTTGGTGGGACGTGGGCCAAGACAGAGGAGCCACTTTTGGGTAATCCTCTAGAGAGCACCTGGTTTGTCCTGAGGAGGGCTGCAATGCCTGTTCTTACCAGAGCCTGTCGTTGTTCCCTCTCAGAATCTTTTATTAAGCCATTTTTTAGGAGCACCTAACAAAATTTCAGTCTAAAGCCTGCACAAGCGAACAGGATCTCCAAATTATTTTTTTAAAAGATACATGGGCAGGCAAAAACACCTGCCTAAACTGGAATCTGGTGGGACACAGGTGTTGGTTTGTTTTTTTTTTTTTTTTTGTCTTTTATGAAAAAATACTGAAGGTTTCCCACATTAGAAATGGGTCTAGACTTTTTGTTCTCTCACTTTTCTCAGAACAGGACCTTGAGAGTGCAGAAATTTCTGGTAGGCTCAGGTGAAGTGCCATCACCGAAGCAGTAACTGAATTTCCTGCCACAGGCTGGATGTTTTCTTTGGGAGAGAACCACCTAATATTGATAAGGTCTGTTTCTACTTAATCTGAGGTCCAGCAGAGAGACTTGAGGAGTACCAGCTGTTACTCCCACATATGATCTGTATTTTTCAAACTGTCTAGACACCTGGGTGGGTTGCACACACTACCAGCATAGGTAGTTAATCATGTCAAACCTTCTCTTTCTCTACAGGTTTGTTTTGTTTAACGAGCTATATGGGAACACAGGGAATCAACAGACAAGTGAGGAAATTTGATCACTGAGGCTGACACTTGCCTATTTTTCATTCTGATGTGGTACAGAGATTTCAGGATTATTGGCTGTGGTGTTGGGTGACACCACTGACACAGCAAACCCTCCCAGCAGTGAGCTCTGGGGTGTTTCACGTGTGCTCTCGTGAAAGTTAGATTTACAGAATGCCAGAAATGGAATTTACAACTGACTGTAAAGGAAAAGCTGGAAGAATGGCCACTGAAGGTCCTTAGGATGCATCCTGCTTGGATAAGCACAAATGTTTTCAATTAATGCTCCCACAGATGCCAGCTGCCTGCTCCAAAGTGAAGTGCTGTGTGACAGGATCCTTTTTGTTCAAAAGAAGGTGATTCTTCATATTCCATCTGGCTGGTTTGTTTGCCTTAAAAAACCAGGGGAATGCAACTGGAGTTGAAAAGGGCGAGGGGACCAGCTGAGCCTGGCTACTGCTGCCAGACTCCACTGGCCACGGCCCTGCCTCAGGGTGGCCAAAGTGGCCACAGGGAGAGGGACTCTGCTGATGGGATCAGGCTCTGGAGAGACAAATTCCAAAGCACAAAGAGAAAAGGATGTTTTCTTTTCCGCTGGACAAAACACAACTTTTCTGGCAGGTCCAGGCAGGACAGTCTGTCCGCTTTGGCAATACCTCGCACGCCTGGACGTACACAAGTATGTTTTTACATGCAGCCTGCCTTCCTTGCTCAGCCTCTCCAAGAGGATTTGGCAAGGAGGAGATCTGGGAGGACTGGGGAACGGGGCAGGCTGCAGCGTGCTGCTTCCCTCACACAGCACCCAGCACCTTTGGGGGCACTGGGAGAGCACCCCCAGAAATCACCCGGGTGCTGCTGCCCTGCTCACCCCAGCCTGCACCCACAGAGCTCCAGCAACAGCCCCGAGCTCCAGCAGCCCCCCGGCCAAACCCTCCCCTCCCCACTTGTGATTCTGAACCTCTGCCAAAGGCATCTGCTAAAGGATTCATGTCAAAGGCTTTTCCTGACCAACAACCTTTTTGCATCCTGGCTGCTTCCAGAGTTAGAGCTGCTCTCCCAGTGCCCATCCCCTCCTGACAACGCTGTTTAACACCCAGCTGGGGAGATGGTGCTTGATGCTGGCGCTCAGTTCTCCTAAACTGCAAGCTAAACTCACTGGGAAATGAATCACGGCTTGTCTTGGGATTCTCAGGCTTGTTTAGGTTGCAAACACCCCACCCGTTTGACCATAAAATTATTTTATTTGCCTTTGCTGTTTGTAGACAAAGATACACCCCTTGTGCTTGCTGAAAAATTCTTGTGATTAGCACCAGGCAACCTGAGAGAGGAAAACAAGTTTATCCTAGTGAAGGCCATGCTTAGTCCTGACTGTCAAGTTCAAAACACAGTTAGCAAACACAAGCACAAGGAAAGACGGACCTGAAGCCACAAGTGCCTGCTGTAAACATTGGGAATCCTCCAAGATCCCCACTCCAGTCCCACTTTCCAGTCAATAATGTTTGGAAACTCCTTTGCTCTGGGTGGTGGATGGGGGATATGCTTAAAGCATCAAACAAAGGTGGGAGGAGAAGAAGCAAAAGGAAACACTCTCCTAAAGCCAAATTATTTTGGAGAGGGGAGGTTACTGGGAAGGAGAAGTTGTTTTGTGTTGTTTAGTTTTCTGAGAAAACATCCCTACAGCCAAGACAAACAGAGATGCCTGCTCTAGATCTTGTTACCTCTGGTCTCCTTGGGCCCCATGTCAATTCCCAGGTTATTTTTATGGACTGTTTAATCCAGGGCTTTATTTCCCCTGTAGGTAAATGGTATTTT